CAGTGGGAGCCGGTAAGTGCTATTGTGTTCAAATCTTGCTCACGGGTTTCCCAAACAAGGCTTCTGATTGGCCACTGAGAGAATCAGATGCAGGATGAGATGGGCCATTAGGCTGACCCAGCAGGCTCTTCTTATGTTCTCCACCGTATATTTAATGCATATTCAAAGCATGTGACCCCAGCTGAAAGCTCGTCCTAACCACCTAAACATGACGAGGAAAAACCCATTCACTGATTGCTGATGCTATAATGCTAATTCACTTTTAAGGTGCCTTGTTTCAGCAGTCACAAAAGAGTCTTAGTGACTGCCTTAACAACAAGCCAAACAGGGAGGGACAAGTGGCTGAGTAGGACTAGGAAGCAGACTGGCTTGTACTGGCGAGGGAGCAGCTGCAGCCGCTCTGCACAGGCACACCTGGGCCTGAGCTGCAAGCCTAAACTTTTATCTGGCAGGGTTGATATGGGGATAAGATAAGGCACTACTGTTCAGTCTATCCTGAACTGCTGCTAGGCTACAGCAAGGAAGAAATGGCTTTCAAAGAGGATTGGATAAATTTGTGGCGGATAAGGCTGTTGAGGACAGCTACTAGTCACGGGGGTTATGCTCTGCCTTTGATTGTAGAGGCAGTAATGCTTCTGAATGCTGCTACCAGTTGCTGGAAAGCAGAGGGGAGAATGTTCTTGCAGTCTTCCCATAGGCATCTGTCTGGCCACTGTGAGTAACAGGATGCTGGCCGAGATGGACCATCGACCTGTTCCAGCAGGCTCTTCTTCTGCTCTTAAATGTGACTGTCAACACACAGAATGATGGGTTCTAGGAGCCTCATCCTAAACAAGGAAAACAGTCCCCCTGCTCCTGAACGTGAGAGAAGTGGCTCAGTGGTTAAGCACGCTTGCTTTGTATGCTGAGTGTCCCAGGTTTGATCCCTGGCATCTCCAGGTAGGCCTGGACTAAACTCTCTGTCTCAAACCTTGGAAAGCCACTGCCAGTCAGGGTCTGACTCAGTATAAGGGCAGCTTCCTATGTTCCTAAATCCAGCTTTTCATCGTCTGTTAAAAACCAGGTTTGGTTCCGCAAGTGCACAAGGGGCCCCAAGTCTTGAAAGAAGCATGCCATTGTACCCAATATAATAAGCTGGGCTGTGTGTGATTACTTGTGGTATCCGTTTCTCCCATTCAAGGATGCAAGAAAAAGCTTGCTGGATCAGGCCAGTGGCAAAGCACCCTGTTCTCAGAGTGGCCAAACAGATGTTTGTGGGGAACTGGCAAGCAAGAATCAACCCCAAGAGCCCTCACCCCTCCTGTGGCTTTCACCACCTGGTATTCAGAAGCATTGCTGATTCCACCTGTGGCATCAGAGCACAGCTGTTCAAGCTAATAGTCCTCTCCTCTGTGAATTTGTCTCATCACTCTTTTAAAGCTGCCCAATTTGGCAGCCATCAGCCTCCCGTGGGAGCGCGTTCCGTAGTTTAACTATGTGCTGCACGGAGAAGCACTTTCTTTTGCAAATGTGTCCACAGGCTCGAAGACGGTTGGCAACCCCTGGTTTCACTGATGTAGGCAAGAACTCAGTTTAAAAACAAACCGGACAGATGTTTGGAAAAACCAAAAGGCAACTTTATTTCTCAAAAAAACAAACAAGAACTGGTAGCAAAGTCACAACACTGGTACAGTCAAGAGTAAATACATTTTTTTAAACACACACACAACATAATTTATATGGAGCAGAGGTCCCATCCAGGCTCCAGAGGCATCCAAGTCTGTACTGCTGGAGGGGTGGGGAAGGGGGAGTGGGAGGGAGTGAGGTCAGGAAGAGAGAGAGATGGTGTGCATGGACTGGGTTTTTGTTTTTTTTAAAAAAAAAGTATGCTTGATGGCATGAGATTTGAGAATGGTCATTGCACAGAGACTGGGAGAAATGTGAAAGGTAGTGGCACATTCAGGCTAAAGTCACAGACACAGCCTGCTCTCTCAGGATGCTGTGGGACCCTCTGCTCCCCCGCCCCACACTGCACCTCTCAAGGTGGAAACAGACAAAGCTTTCCTAGGAAAGACCCACCTGAAACACGACACATGATAGTCAATCAACAGAACTGCATTTGGATACAGACAGGACCAGGTTTTTCGCTCCTTAAGAAAAAGTGGCGAGTATCTAAATCAGCTCAAAAAACCGGCTTGGGAAGAGGAGGGGGGTGGCAGGGGGAAGTGAGGAAAAGATCAAAACCAGCTTGAATAAAGAGTCGAGGCCTGCTCAGCTCAGTTTAGTCACGGGCCAAGCTAGCCTTTGAATTTCACAGTGCATTTGCTGCCTTAATGTGCAATACTGCTGTGGGCAAAGAGAACGAGCCATTACGCTTAATGGGGGCTTTGTTTCTCCAGGGAAGCTGAGCAGCAGGCTACTCTGGTGAAGCCACTTCAAATGTATTCCCCCTGTGAAAAACGAGGGGGATGACTTAACCTTGAGTCCTTGCAGAGTGTGGCCTAGAGGTTTAGGTCCTTGCAGAGTCAAGGCCCCACCTTCCGCCTACAAACACTACCACAAGACTTGCTTTGCAGTGCAGGAAGTGTATATGAATGTTAACACACAGTGACCGTACAGTGTCTTGAAGCAGAGTTAACTAAGCAGCCAAACAAACCCCAGCCTTTTTGTTTTTCCACCCAGGGAGCAATGTGTTAAGGTTAGAAGAAAGAATATCCTTTGCAGTCTCTCAAGGCATCTACAGAGTCAGTCTGAAAAGCCATGATCACTAGTATCTTGAGAATTTACAAAAGGGTGGCTAACCAGTGGTCCTCCAGATGTCGCTAGGAACCAATTCCCATCAGCCCCCAGCCAACATGGCCAAAGTGCCAGGAATGAAAGGAGTTAAAGTCCAAGAGTGTGTAGAAGACCACATGTTAATCACCCTGCTTTGAAAGTCAGCATATAAACACCAAAATCATTCTGATCTCTACACAACCAGGTGAAATTTGAGAAATCCAAGGCTCCATACCAAATCTACTGTATTGGGACGGACGGACGGACTGGGAAGCCATGAGGCAGCCAATGTGCTGCCTCCCAGAAGCTATGGACTACAACACCCATCAGCCCCAGCCAACATGGCCAATGGACCTACAATGTCTGTAGGGCACCATGTTGGCTATCTTAAAATACCAATTCATGTGCTGTAAAGCCAGTCATATGAGGTAGGCCCCAGCAAATGAATCCTCCTGTGTACCTTATCTTTGACCAACAAAGGTGGAAATACTGTTTTAGCTTCCCTGCCTATGCCAGCTCTGTGATATCTTTACTTTTCCTAGAGCAGGAACTGGGGAACCTGTGGCCTTCCAGGTGTTGCCGGACTACAAATCTCATCATTCTTGAACATTGGCCATGTTGGCTGGCGGTTGATGGGAGTTGGGAGTCCAGCAATATACAGAGGGGTGCAGGTTCCCCATCTTAAGGCTTATAGAAACAATAAGCATATACTTCCAAAGTCTGGACTCATCACAGGGAGCTCCTAGGGCATATTTACAACATAACCAACTCAGAGGTAACATAGGCTCTCTCTGACCTGAGCAAACCAGGCCTGGGAGGCCAAGTCAAAGAGGCAGCACTAGCTTTCAATCAGCTCTGCACCACAACTCCCATCAACCCTAGTCTGCACAGCCTGGTTGGCCGAGGCTGATGGGAACTGTACTCCAAAATAATCTGAAAGGCAACAGGTTGGGGAACACTAGGCTAGATTGAGCAACCTCTGCCCATGCCAGTCTTTCATATATTTCAGGAATGCTCCCTAGAGTCCTGTTCTTCTTACCAGTCAAGCCAACACAGGATTTTCATTACTAAAGTTTAAAAAGGGGGGGGGGGAGAGGCACATATATACAGAACAACCAAAACAATCTTGCGGGCATACTCCAGGGGTTTGGTACACGCAATTTCATGGCAACAATCCAAGAGGTAAAAATTCAAGATTGTGAATATGAAAGGAGAAAGCGCCAGAACTTGATATGCATCTACACCACCTTTAGGTGTTAAAACCTTTTGAAATTATGGACATTTAGTTCCTTCTTGAAGTGTAAAAAAACCACACCCACAAATGGGTTAGCAGTGGGGGGAGGGGGGGAGTAGCTTAAGAAACCCAACAAGAGTGTGGTGTTGTTTGAAAAGTTATCTTTAAGGTTTGCTTTTTCACAGTTTAGTGATCTACTCTCTGACCAGGGAAATCAGTTAAGGCAGATACACAGTGGACACATGAAGAACGTGTGTGTGTGTGTGTGTGTGTGTGTGTGTGTGTGTGTGTGTAGAGCATAGGGCCTGAATGGGGTCTTTCTTGGCAGGGGGGAACCCTCCTAACTTGAGAGACAGATGAAAAGCGCACAATGTAACATTAAGGCATGATGTTTAAATGCTCTCCACTCTCCAGTGGCCAGTGCTCTTTAAACACTTCCACATATTCACATTTCTGGAGACTGTTTTGGCAACAAATGGCACCTCTCACCTGCAATCTAAACTAGGGCAGAGCATTGCATGGTAAGTGTTACCACTTTATTCTATCGCACAAACAGATCAGGCCAACCTCTTTTGAAAATGTCTGTTCAGCCCCCAATTCTGGGTCATCTAGGTCAGTGTTTCCCAACCTTGTGCCTCCAGCTGTTTTTGAACTACAACTCCCATCATCCCTGACTAGCAAGACCAGTGGCAAGGGATGATGGGAATTGTAGGCCAAAAACAGCTGGAGGCACAAGGTTGGGAAACACTGATCTAGGTGGGCCCATTGTTGCCTAATCAAAACACAGAGGAACTTGTGGACAGGGCCAGGAGGCAGAGAAAATAACAGCTCCAAAAATGCCTAACACCCAAGTTCTGGGATCTGTGAGACAGCCTAAATGCATGCACGCGCGCACACACACAAACAAAAGTTGGGAGATGATGCTTTTCTAAGGGAGGCAAGCACAGTTGGACATCCCTATCTATACCCCAATTTTCACAGATGCAGCAGCCTTCTGTTCTGGATCTGGTCCTTAAGGATCTGTGTACTCCAAAACTGGTTTCCTCAGCTGAGAGATCTCTCCATCCCTGGCCAGGAGAGACCCTTGCCTTTTGCCCATTTTGACAAGGTGAAAAGAAAAAGGAAAATCTGGCCAAACTTAATCACAACCTGGTATTCTTTTGCCCCGTGTGACCTCTTTTAAGCTGGTCGCCATATGGAGTGCAGTGATCTCAGGCAGGAAGCTAAGAAATGTAGTGTAGTCACCAAAATTGCAGTGGGGAAACTGCTTGTTTCATATTATTCTCAGGCCTCCCCCCACCTTCCAAAGCGTGACCTCCTCGAACATTCACAGTCCTACATTCAAAGTCCTGCAGCAGGTAGAGAAAGGAAAGCCCGACATTGCGGCAGAGAGATCTCTTTGGTTAATCAAGTCTTTGCCTCAGCTGGTCCAGCAGCGTTGTCGTTGCAAAGGACATGGCCACGAGATCCGACATTCATTGCACTAATCACCTACTGGGTAAGGGTGGGTGTGTAGGGGGAGGTATCTGAGAGTAGCCACAACAGGAAGCCACCACCAATTTCAACACATGACAGGCCAGCAAAAGGGCATTGGCAAAACGAGCCTTCCAAGATGGAGGCCGGAAGCCTGGCCATCCAAACATGACCACCCCTCTTCCCTGCTGGTGGCAGAGCCAACAAGCCACACAGCAGGAGGGGGATAGCTCCCAAGTCTCAGCCGAGAAAGCCGGGGTTAGGCAAAGTTGGTTTTCACCACACGTGTAGAGTTTGGTCTCCTGGACCGCCCTCCTTGGCCGGTCGCTTGGCAGGAGATGCTCAGAACAGTGTCAGAAACGCCACACACAGCCCTCCAAAAAGTCACAGGGGGAGCAAGGTGACAAAAGTGTCTTTCGCAACGTAGTCCAGAAACACGCCTTGGTGTGGGGAGGGGAAGGCTCCCCTGTCCAAAACAGCTGGCCTGCCCCCCTTAGGGACGGCTAGGGGGAGCAGAGTTCCGTCAGGTCATGTAGCGAGTGATGGCACGCAAGGCGTACAGCAGGGCAGCCTGCATGCGGGCCTCCAGCAGAAGCAGGTTGATATGCACCTGGAAGGTGAGAAGGGATAGGTCAGAATGGAAAGGGGCAGAGCAAACATGCCAAGGCCCGGCAGGGACTACCGCTGATGCCTGCCTGCACCCTGAGCCCTCCTTTTTAATTTTGTCTCCTTAGCAACTGGTGCTCCTTTCCCCCAGTTATAATCCCCTGGTGTTTCCCTGGGGCATTGTGGGAAATTTAAATGGTGACACCCAATGGAGCCTTCGCTCAGAGCTCAGCACTGATTAGGAGAGAAGCATATCTATCTATCTATCTATCTATCTATCTATCTATCTATCTATCTATCTATCTATCTATCTATCTTCTATCTAATCTATATCTATATCTATATCTATATCTATATCTATATCTATATCTATATCTATATCTATATCTATATCTATATCTATATCTATATCTATATCTATCTATCTATCTATCTATCTATCTATCTATCTATCTATCTATCTATCATCTCCAAGCTATAGTCCTGTCCCACTGAATGTATGTATTACTAACTTAGGCCCATTCTTTTCATGGAAGGAGAGGTGAAATTCAAACAGGAAATGAAAATAAATCAGCTCGTTTGAAAGTTTGTGGGATAGGGTTGTACTCCGAGTAGACCTGCTGAAATTAATGCTGCTAACTTAGTTGTGTCCATTCATTTCAATGGGTCTACTCTAGACTAGGAAAAGCCCTGGATACAACCCACAGTGTACAAGTGTGCAGCCATACCCTATACTGGGACCCTCCCAGTGTTGTTGGACCCAAACCTCATTAGCCCAGCCAGTGCAGCCAATGGCCAGTGATGATGGAAATTGCTGTCACACGTCATCACAGAGTGTGTGTTGTGTCCTTGGCTTCCCCATCCCTGCTATCACTCTCTCAGCCATGAGAAACTCAGACCAGTCTCTTGAGACCCAAGAAAGAGTGAGAGAGAAACAGACCTCCCTTCTCCTCTCCCTCACCCCCCAAGGAAACATCATGTGGCTTTACCTTTTCAGAATGTTTGAAATGCCTCCAGAAGTGAGTGTACATGCGCTTGGTGGCTTTCTCTGGATAGCAGGCCACGGTTTTGATGTAGATTTTCAAGCTGCGCTCCAAGAGCTGGTTCACCTCCCTGTAATCATAGTCATCATACCTGGGGGGAAAGTGCAAAGATGTAAACGTTATGGGGCTGCCTTCTGTCGAGTCAGAACATTAAGAACGCGAGTGGCCCAAGTAGTGCAGCATCCTGTTCTCACAGAGGTCAAGCAGATGCTTAGGGGAAGCCTCCATGCCAGGCCCAAGTGCAAAGGCAACTCCCCCCCCCCAATTTCCAGCAACTGGCGTTCCAAGGCCTCTGGCGTTGGTAGCAGAACATAGCCACAAAGTACATCTAATCCTCTTTGAAAACCATCCAAGTTGGTGGCCATCACTACTTCCTGGGGGATTGAATTCCATAATTTAAGCATGCACTCTGTGTAGAGATCCTCTTTCTTTGTCCATCTTCCAACAGTAGAGTCCATTTTGACGGGCAGCAACTCTCTGGCGTCTTATGCAGAGGAGCCCTTTCCTGGCTCTGCTCATCAAAGTACTTTAAACTGGACGCGCCAGGGACTGAGCCAGTGAAATTCTGCATGCAAGCACATGCCCTGTACCCCTAAGCTATGGCGCTTCTCAGAGAAATCACTTCTTTAGCCACACGCCAACCAACAGCACAACTGTCCCTTCCCTCTTCGTCTAAGTCAGGGGGTGAGCCCCTGGCCTAATTTCATTGGGGGGTGGTGAAGAAGGGAAAGAGGGTGGGCAGAAAGAGAAACCAGTGGTAGGAAAAGGTTAGCTACCCCGGTCTAGGGAAGCTGTTCCGTTCACATGGCAGATCCAGCCGAGGATATGACAGGACAAGTCCTCCCACATCCCACAAACGTGCCTAACATCCGACCTCTCTATGAATTAGGTGACTCAACTCCCTTGAGTCACACCTGTTTGGCGAGATCCGGGCAAGGCTAGTCACAGAAATCAATCCAGCCAAAACACACAAAACAGTCAATCTCCTCCTTCAGCCCTATACTAAACAAAGCAACCGGTCTGAGAAGGACGATGGATCTCAGTAGATTTCTTGTGAACCAGGCTATGGTTTAGCATCACATGACTAAGCTTTGGGCTTGTGTGCTTCCTCCTCTCGCCTATGTGTCCTACTTCCTGATTTGAGGCAAACCATAGTTTACATGAACCAGCAAACTAGGGTTTACCTGCAAAGTTTCTTACAATTTCTAATCCCACTGTTCAGACATCTGTAGTTTCCCAAACGGGTAAGCAACTAATTAAGCAAAATCCATGAAGGAAAGATGGTGCACATGAGTACAAGGCTCATCCACAAAGTGCCGAGCTATGGTTTGGTGCTGCAAGCAACTTAATCCAATGCTTTCCTTTCTTAGAAGTAATCATTCAGCAAAGTGAAGGTCTGGAAAGGTCTCAGATTAGCCTTGATGAGTCACAATGCAGCGCGGAGGGGAGAGGAGGGGAGAGGAAGGGAGAAACCAAAGTCTTACCGAATGCCAAAGACACAGTGCACATAATTCCAGATGGCCCTCCGGAGCATGGATGTGTCCACCCCACTGTGCATGGCTATGGTGTTATACGTCAGGTTGTAGACCACCTGGAATTTCTCATCCAGCAATTGCCCCACATCAGGATATAGGCGATTGATGAGTGAGTAGCCATGGTCCTCCCAGGTGTAATCCTGTGTAGAGAATGAAACATAAGGACATAAAGTGAGCCTGTTGGATCAAGCCCATGGCCCATCCAGTCCAACATCCTGTTCTCACGGTGGCCAAGCAGATGCCTGCAGGCTGGATTGGAGCGCAACAGCAGTCTGCGATTCCCAGCAATTGGTAGTCAGAAGCATGATGCCTCTGGCAATGGAGGTAAAGCATAGCCAATGTGGTTAGTAGCTGCTTATAGCCTTGGGCGCTATGAATGTGATGTATGCTCTTTTAAAGCCATTCAAGTCGGTGGCCACCACCAAACAGCCTCTGTGCCACAAAGCCTACTGATGCTCTTAAGTGGTTTGCTATTTTGACAGATCTTGCCCTGCACTAATCTACTTAAAGTAGAACAATATAGCATTGTAGGATGCACAGGTACTAAGTTAATCTATCTATAAGATTTGAACTCTGGTCTCCAAGGTCACAGCCCACACTTTTACTGCTACACCACACTGGCAAATATTGCATATTACCAATCTGCTGGATTGCTATCAAAGGACAGAATTGGCATTGCGTTTTGAAGACTGAGGGAGCGGGGTTGGGAGAGACTAGGAACCTTCACACACAGCAGGGACCGTGAATGCATGCGGACAAGGTACCTGAGCTCGGAAAGTCGGGGGCGTCTGTTCTCCTCTCCTGGTGAAATCCTTGTATCCAAATTCTGGGTCCTCCACAAAGCACATCACATTGGGAGGCAGGGAGTGTTCAGCAATGTCTAGTGGGAATAAAGCCCCAAGGAAGATTAATGTGAGAGCATCAAAAACACCTCCCTCTGGACAGTGCTTTCTCTTATACCAGGGCAGGTGCTATGTGCAACTAAGCTGTTCAACTAGAATACACCCCAGAAAAATAAAGGGAGTTTGGAGCCTAGAATTATTCTTTATTCATTTTGCCAAGACAGGACAGGAATGGCACTATAGTTCCCATCTTGCATGTGTATAATCCTTCTCTCACAAAAGGAACTTGCTCTCCTTTTTCCAGCTTCAGTGGCTAAATGCAGAACACATCTGTACTATACACATAAAGCAGTATCATACCATATGAAACTGTAGTGCGTTTAGGGGTGCTGTGAGTTGTTAGGAGATCCCTATTCCCTGCAGAGAGCCACAATTCCCAGATTTCCCTAGGAAGAGGGACTGATTGTTAAACCGCTCTGGGAACTGTGGCTGTGTGACGGGGATTACCTTGTTGCACTAAGTTCCAGTGCAAGAGTCTCTACTTCCCTTTGCACAGTCTGCTTTTGGTTGTTGACAGCACAGTCACTGGGAGATCCCCCCCCCAAATATTTTCCAAGTCTAGCAGGCCATAACACTAGGAAACTCCCCACTGAAATGGCTTGGATCCCATCTGAGAACTTGCCTGTCTTACCCGAGGGAGTAACGAGCAGACTCTCTCTCTTTTCCATCTCAAAGCGGGTCTCCATCTCTTCCTGGGTGACTGCCTCCTCTTCCAGCTGGCACTCTTGCAGAAGCTTCATTCTCTCCATCAGCACTTCTACCTCCTCCATAGCATCTGAGCCCTGAGAACATTGGGACAGAAACCAGTCAGTCCCCAGAATGACGGCTGGAGAGGGGCACACATTTATAAAGTGCTTAATTGGGGAACGGCTGTAGCTCAGTGGTACAGCACCTGCTTTGCATGCAAAGGGGCCTCCAGTTCAACCCCCAGTATCTCCAGTTGGGGGTGGGAATGTCTCCCTCCTGAAACCTTGAAGAGTCTTGGAGAGCTGTTGCCAGTCAGTGTAGACAACACTGAGCTATATGGGGCAATGGTCTTTACTTAAGAGCAGTGCTTTTTTCCTGGGGGGATGCAGGGACACACATACCCCTAAATATTTTGTGAATCTAAGTTTGGCCTCGTTGAGGGCAGTATTTAAATATGAGTAGGAAAATAAGAGTATCTCTAAACTTTTCTTTTTTTTAAAGAAAAGAGCACTGCTTAAGAGTATAAGCTTCCTAAAATAAACCTCTAAAGTTTCATAGCCACTCTGGAAGCCTTTCAGGCAGAAAAGCAGGACAACGAAGGCTTTCAGGTAAGCAGATATATAATGTGGAAATCACAGCACTCCCAACACTCTCCAAGAATGGACCCTGCCAGTTTTTGGTGCTGTTTTTACTGGGCTTTAAGGGTCCTTAATGCATTGAGAAAAATGGAACCCCTCCCCTTACTGCCACTCACACTAGAACTGTTTACTCCATCCTCCGAGGCCGGACTGCTATCACAACTGCGTGGCGAGGGCGGCCGAAAGACATGGCCTCCTTCCTGGTCGATCTCCAGATTGATGCCGCAGCCAAAGACGAAGGATGCAAGCGAGTGGTAATGTGTGAGGAGCACCAGAGCCTGGATGAGTTCTGCCAGAGACCAACTGTTGTCGCCCGTCTTCAGGAGCGCCTGTTTAAAACAAAGGGGTCCCCATTTAGTTCCATGCATCAAAAGAAGAACTGCTCGTCTTTAAATGGGAAATGAATAATATCTTGCTCAGAACTCTGCTGTACATAAGGCTGGCAAGGTTGTGCTGAGCTTCCTAAACAGCAGGGCAATGGGTTTCAACAGGTGGCAGGGCAATCTACCTGCCCCCCATCTGATGTCATGTGATTGACAGGCAGGTTGTCTTGCCCAACAAAGATGGTCCATAGGGTGGTGCCAGATAATGATCTGGCTCACAGGCCAAAAATGTACCCTATCCGTGCAACAGACAAGAATGGTCTGACCGGGTATGAGTCAGCTTCATATATTTGTATGTGAATCACTTTCTGTGGCCTGCCATTAACAAGAAAATGGGTGAGTTTTTTAAAAAAGCAATGGTCTTATGAATCAATACACTGTCCTCTGTGGAGTTCTCAATGGACGTTCACGCAACTCCCAACTCCTTCCTTCCACCCTCAGTTACTCACCTCAATGTGTTCCTTGGTAATCAACCAGGGCCGGTGGGCCAGGATCTTGTTGATTTCGTTGAGGTTCCTCAGTTTCTGTGGGGCATACTGCAAGCCTCGCAGCCACTCTGGGTCCCCACCCACCTGTAGGAACTCCCCCATGTGGAAGCCAACCAGATAGGAACACTGATGTCTTGCAGCAGCCTGAGAAAAAATGGGGTAACTTAATAAGAGGGGTAACTCATAAAGAAATGCAGGAGAACAGTCTCTGCCAGGAATCAGAGTACATGGCCACATTAACAACACGGGACCCAGATTTGGGGGAAAGCTTCCCACTGGGCAGTGCTTAATTAGCCGCCCTGAGCCCAGTCTTGCTGGGGAGGGCGGGGTATAAATAAAATTTATTATTATTATTATTATATTATTATTATTATTAATTTCTAAAAACAAGGGATACACAGGAAGCAGTTTTCTACTGCCAAGACCATCGGCCCACTACGCTTTCTCCAGCTTGGTGCCTTCTAGACTGCTCGGTTCCTAGCCAGCTCCAGCCAGAGTGGCCAATGGTCAGGGATGATGGGAGTTGTAGTCCAGCAGCATCTGAAGGACAATAGCCTGGGGGAAGCTGGTCTACACCAATGGACAGTGGCTCCACACAGGTTCAGACAGGCATCTTTCCTGGTTGAATGTGGAGGTGCCAGGAAGTAAACTGGGGACCTGGCCTTCTGCATGACAAGTACACGTTCTGCCACTGAGCAGAGGTGCTACTGAAGTGGACCCAAGTTAGCCATGTGCCTCAATTTCAATGGATCTTCTCTGAGTAAGACCAACATTGAATGCATCCCTACGGCTATAGGGCCACATCCGCACCAACTGAAGCATGATTATTACCACTTTGTTACGGCTTCCCGCAAAGAATCCCGAGAACTAGAGTGCTGTTAGGCAAGCTCTGTCCCTCTCACAGTAATATTATTCCCCAAGTGGCTTAACAATTCATTCTTCTTCCCAGAGAATTCTGGGAATTGTAGGTCTAGGTGGGGAACAGATGTGGCCTAAGAACTCTCAGCACCCTTTGCTAACTACAGTTCCCAGGATTCTTGGGCAGGCGGATGGGGGGGGGGGAGACGGACCATGACTGTTTAAAGAGATATGATACTGCTTTAAATATGCAGTGCAGAAGGGGCCTCTAATATTCTAGGTCTTGTGAGGGAAATCAGTAAGGAGTGTGCAGTTAGGCAACACAAACACACAAAAGTGACCAGCAGCCAGAGGGGAATAAGATGGGAATTTAATCAGGATGATTTGTTTAATGGTTATGAATGAGTCACATACGGTGGCAAACTGATTTTGTTTTGCCTAACTGCCAATCACATTACTTTTTAAAATGTTACATTTATAACTTTTATTTGATTCTCATTTATAATACCTTACTTTCTGATGTTCAGAGGCTATTTTGTTCAGCTGTTTTCTATCTTCCACACATTTTTGTAGCTGATTCTATGGTGCAATGTTTATTTTGATACTAAAGAGGATTCAGAGGACTTATTATTTTGATACTAAACAGGATTTATTTCAATGCTTAGCCGTGTTTTAGGGAATGTAGAAATGATCTGGGCACTTTTTGTATTTGCTGTATATTTAAGACATTTTAATCTATGCCATAAACTGCTCAGAGTTTTTTTTAAATATAAGCAGCATGTAGGTTGTCCAAATAAATAAAAATACAAAGTGAAACAGTGATAGAAACAGCCACTCCATTTAAAAAACAAACAAACAAACAAACAAACAAACAAACAAACAAACAAACACCTGCCATTTTGTGGGTGTTGTTGGGGAGTGGCTGCCTGGGGCAATGCTATGACCACTGGAAGGATTAGAAACAACTCTGAGGTAATTCTGTTGTAATTCATAACACAGAATCTAAACAGGTGCAGGGATAGCTAGGGAATTAAAGAAGAAGAAGAAGAAGAAGAAGAAGAAGAAGAAGAAGAAGAAGAAGAAGAAGAAGAAGAAGAAGAAGAAACATTTTAAAATGAGGTGTTCTTTAAAATCTACACCTACTGACTCAGGTTCCCATTTCTCCTCAGTCACTCACCATGATGGCAATGTAATGGCGTTTGTGATATGGCAAAGGCCCATCCATCCGCAGCAGGAGGTACTGAGTTTTCCAGAAGCTTGTCAGGTACTCAGGATGCAGCCCCATCACCATGGTAATGTTATCCACCCTGCCTGTGGAAACAAAGGCCTCAATGAAGAGGCGCCGCTGGGCACTCTCTACTCCTTCTTGTAGGATCTACAACAGGTTAAAAAAAAAAGGCAGGAATGTAATGGGTTGTCCAGGGGAGCCTCTTTTATCGAGCATTCATGCCTATTAGCTTGCAAAAAGCATACGCAGAAGTTAGATTGCATCCAGTCTTTAACGGGGCATTTGTTCACATTTATTTGCAGGCAGGTTATATGGTGAAGAGCTCCACTAGTTTTCACAGTGCGTTTCCCTATTACGTCCCTAATCACAAAAAGTACAATCCTTTATGAAAAGTGAATTTGTTGTGCTAGGGTGACAAAGTGCTTTAATTCACTTTAACCGTGCAAACCTAGATTTCCCAGTATGCACTTGAAACCCTCCTGCAAAATAGTGAAAGTCTGGAGTTAACCTTGAGTGCTTATATAGTTTTTGGAGCTGCAAAAGCACTTCAAATACACAATGTCAAATACACAATGTTACCAAAACAACCCTGTCCAAGTAGATTACCATCTCTATGGGCAGATCCAAACCATACTTTTAAAGGACGTGACTCCCTGCCCCTGACTAGAACTCTGGGAACGGCAGCACCCCTTTCACAGAGCTACAATTCACAGCATCCTTAACAAACTACAGGTCCCAGAATTATTTAGGGGAAGTCACTTGTTTATTGCTCTGTATTTTATGCTTTTTTAATGTTGTAAGCCACCTTGAATCCCAACTTGGGGGAAAGATATGATATAAAACTATTAAAGAAATAAATCAATGTGCTTTAAACATGCACTGGATGAGTTTCAAATGTATGAGGCAGATCTGCCCCTACTAAAGTCACAGAAAGTCTGCAATAAATCAATTCAATTGTCACAGCTTCACCTGAAGGAATCTTCTCCTTTACAGAGAGAGCAAAGCCTGGCAGACTTTTTAGCCAACTCGACATTGCACTTTTCAAAGTTTATTGAGCAAACAACTTTGAGAGAGAGAGAGAGAGAGAGAGAGAGAGAGAGAGAGAGAGAGAGAGAAATTTAGCTGTTTCCCACAGCAGCTGAAGGGCTCAGCCATCTGATGCAATCGGGTTGTTTGTTCAAATTCCAGGCCAAAAAAAAAACAGCCACCACCAACAGCCCAGCCCATCACACACCTCCTTGCCTCTCCTGCTTGGCAGGGAAATTTCAAAAAACACAGCTCTCTCGGTTGCTGGAATCAAAATCCTGCCCGGTGACGTCTCTGGAAGCAGATACTGTCCTTGTGGCCAGCACCACAGAGCTGTCCAGGAACAGAACCCATATCATTTCCCCAGCCAGACCAGCCAAATGGCTCAATGGCTCTGAGCAGCACCCCCCTGTGAAGGTGGGGAGAGGAGCTGGCACTAGGCCAGAGAGAAAAGGACAAAGGGGCAGCTGTCAGCCCAGAAGGACCCCCCCCCACACACACACCCAAAGGCTGCATACACACCATATATTTAAAGCACCCCCTCCAACAATCCTGGGAACTATAGTTTGTTGGGGTGGTGGGAGCTAAAGCTATGCTGGGGTAAACTATAGTTCCCAGGACTCAGGGGGTTGCGTTGAATGTGGTGTGTGCCTGCAGCTGAAGTCTGTAACAGGAGCAGAGTCACAAAGGATTTGAACAGATTTATGCTGCCTGAAGGGTCCCCCCACCCCACCCCAGGGCTTGAAAGGAGGGGTGAGGATGGCATCTGATGGGTGCAACAGTGGCCAGGGAGAGGTAGCTGACGCTCAGTCTTTTGATAAGTTGTTTGTGCATACACAGGGAGGGAAGGTCACTCGATAAATAAGGAGATGACGACATCACAGGGCAACGCTCACACGTGTCACTCCCATCACAGGAAGGGGGGGAAAAGCACAAGGGTGGGGGAAGCCAAGGACTTTGCTGTGGCAATAAGCAAATAGCACTCCGTGTTATGTGTTGCCCTGCTGGAAAGCTAGCAGGGCTGGCTGCCCCCCCAAAACCAGGAAGGGGCGGGGGTGGTGATGGGGAGGGATTAACACCTCAGATGACTCTGAACCCATGGCTGGCAGTTTTGCAAGATTGCCAGAGGTCAGGGAAAGAAACAAGTAAACAATAATCCATCTCTGTTGCTTTAGGCAAGAAAACCACCATAGAAGGGGGCAACCCTTCTTCAAGGTGTGAGGAAAACATGGGGGAAATACAGGATATTTATTTTTATTTCAGTGCTGGTGGTGAGAGGGGTTGATTTTCATTTGCAGCCTCCCTTCCTTCATCCCAGTTAAATAGGCAGCACCCCAGAAGCAATACAGTCGTACCTTGCATCCCGAAAGCCTTGCGAGTCGAACATTTTGGCTCCCAAACACCGCAAACCCAGAAGTGAGTGTTCCGGTTTGTAAACCTTCTTTGGAACCTGAACGTCCTCCGCGGCTTCCGATTGGCTGGAGGAGCTTACTGCAGCCAATCAGAAGTCGTGCCTTGCTTTCTGAATGTTTGGGAAGTCGAATGGACTTCCGGAACTGATTCATTCAGACTTCCAAGGTACCACTGTGTTTTGACACACGCACAAAAATATATCCTATATATACAAATAGCAAACTTGTTCTTAATGCAAATCCTTATTTAGGCAAAATAGTACCATCCACGCACGTGGAGGAGAGAGATGTTAGCAGACCCAGGGGAGCGTCAGGATTTGCAGGAATACAATTTTTTAATTTGTAAGAATAAAAAGTCAAGTGGATCCCTTTACCCTCCCAAAAAAGCTCGCTGACAGCCAAGCATGCTTAACAGCCACAGGAACAAGATTGGTAGGGGGGCAACCGGAACAGTGTTCTCAAAAAGTGCATGGGTGGCTGGCCTCCTTGGGGCAGGGAAGAATGGAGTTTTCTCAAAAAGGGCATTGCTGGCTGGTAGGCCTTCTGAAGAAGAGCACTCCGCACTGCAACATTTTCTTGCAGGTCCTACTCATAAAATAATTGATGTTCTGGTATTTGCTTCTTATCAGCAGAACAACAAACTATTTATGTTATCAGTACCAGGGAACAACAAACCTGTTTTTAGCTACTGCAGTTTCCCTCTGGGAATCGGAATTTATGAAGCAGTTTGACTGGCTTTTTCTAGCCTCCTTTAAGGAACATGATCCCTAGACTTCAGGCTCAGAGACAAGTGACTGAGGTCACCCAGTGAGCATCATGGCTGAGTGGGAACTTGAGCCCTGGTCTCCCAGGACCTAGTCCGACACTCTAACCATAACGCTGCCTTGATTAATTGTCATGGAAGTATGGTCTATAATTATCTCACTAAATAGATAAAACAGAAGCTGGAGACAGTGGTGTGTAGTGCTCAGAATAGTGGTAGCTAGAGGTCACAAGACCGGGGGGGGGGGGAGGTGTTCCTGCCCCCCTGCAAAGGAAATTTGTCCCACCCACCCTGAGGTTTTTTAAAAAACAGTGTTGGGGCCCAGCCAGGTCTCTCTAGATCTGTTCATGCAATTTACACATCTGTTCCTTCACTGTGTGTGCAGAAATACACCCAGGGCTTTTTTTCAGCCAGAACTCGCCAGACCTCAGTTCTGGCACCTCTCTCAGGTGGGCGCCACTGCCATTATAAGAGGCGTTCATGGTGAGTTCTGGCACCTCTTTTTCTAGAGAAATAGCACTGAATACACATGTTCCTTCCTAACATGGATGGGAGGTGGGGATGGAAAGGAATACTAAAGTTTCTGCCCCCCCCAACAACCCAACAACACCCCCCCCCCAAACCCAGCTCCAGTTCCCCTAGCTGAAACATTCTCTCGTTCCAAAGTATTGCTTCCTCAAAAACGAAACCAAAGAACAGGAGCACTGACTAACAAGAGAGAGCTATCCCCATGCTCAGGACCACCCTGAGGTTTACAGAATTAAAAAAATAAATGATGAGGACAACTAAAGAGCAAAGGGAAGTCCTACGTATGGCACAAGGAATATAGAGAATGTTCAGCCATGGAATGTTGAGTGTGGGAACCCTGAACAGCAGGAACCCTGAATAACAACACTCCTGCTTTGCTAATATTTATTATTTATCGATACTCAGTTCTTTAATATTACAGCACCTGAAGACTACTAGATGCTGAATGCTTGCCGGCTATTTTCTTGTGCATATGAGAGATCTCAAGTACATAGCCTGTTTGCTAAGGGTGCTGGGAACTGTAGCACTGCAAGGAACAAACTACGGTTCCCAGGATTCCTGCCCCAAGGTAGGGAGGACGAATGTGTTTTAAATGCACAATGTGTCTGCAGCTAGAGCGAACCTTCCCAGCACCCAGACTCCTCCCCGACCCCCAGATCCATCCCCATAAATGCAAAAATAACTAGCACCATCACGGCAAGGCCCTCTCTAGTAAGGATGATTCCCTGGCCTGGCAGAGACAGAAAAAGAAGTTCCAAGCTGTGCATCTTACCTCTTCCACCGGGATGAAGGAACTGGGGCCTCTTCCCAACTGCCGGGGGATTTTGACTCCTCTGTCCTGGAAAATGAAAGGAACAGCTGTTTTTAGAAGAACCAACACTCACATCAAAGGGGACTCTGCCCCACCCAGTTACCTCTTCCCTGGGAGGACAGCCATTGCCATAGGCTGCACGTCACAGTTTGGGGGGTGGAGGAAGGGTGGGGTGGGGAGAGTAAGGCAAGAGTGAAAGAAAGCACAAAGGGGGGGGGGGAATGCGCCAGACCCTAGAGAGCAAAGGCTGCTGGAAACTTCAAGTTAGGCTCTGCTGATGAGATGTCTTTTTCTCAACCTCCCTCCTTGCAAAAGCCGCTTGGAGCAATAGCCCCGGAGGAATTGCATCAGATAAAAGACCTGCCCAGAACTGGTTAGCTCAGTGTGAAGTTTGGGGATTTCCATCAACCTCCCCCACGTTCAGAAAAGAAAGCGACAATATCTCTTAAAGGAGGAGGAGGAGCTGGTCACCCTTTGCTTTTGACTCAGGAATTCTGCTACCTGATGAAAATGGTCCAAAGCGTTACAGGGAGATCTCCCCTCTCCCTGCAACAGAGGGCCCTAGCCTTGCATCAGCAAGACGGATCTCCCCAGGACAGGAGGCGTTTGGTAACCTAGTTTCTCTCTCACACGCCACAGACCAGCGGTGCCAGGGCAAGAAGAGCTGCAGGCTGGAAGACTTTTATCTAGACAGCTGATCCTAAGAGCCACCTGCTGAATTCCAAGACTAGACAAACAGAAGGCAGACAAACCCAGATCACCACCTGCCACTGCTCTGCTGTGCTTTAGGCCACTGCCTAAGAGGGGTTTTGTTGAAGGCGTCAACTGAAGACAGCTCAGTGCTGCAGGGCCTCCGAGCACTCTCTCCCCCCCCCACCTGAGCGGAGAGTTTTCTGGCACTCCTAGACAGGACTGGGAGGTCTGTGTATATCAGAGAGCCAGGCCTACACTCCCCGCTGGCTCAGTACTGAAGAGGGAAAGCTGAGCAAGCAGTGCTTATGCGCTACGACACATAGGAAAGTAGTACTGTGCCCTAAATTTTGCAAGAGAGATTGGCTACCAGTGGAGTTATTTCCATGCACTGACCAAGGCTAAGGTCCGCAGATGCAATTGCCAGCTCGCCACTGGCGAGTGCATCTTTCTAACCTGGCGACTGCAGCATTGGAATATGGAGAAGAACAAGGATTGTCCTCCAACAGCGCGTGGATTCTAGGAAACTCCTATTCCCACTCTGGAAACCATACCGCTGTGAGGGGTATAGGGGTTTTGATACTGCTTTAAATGCACAGTGCAAATGGGCCCCCAGAAGTCATACAGGAGTTTTCAGACCACACCCAGAGGTCAAAACGCTTTAGCTCGATGATCTCAGTGATCTTTCAAACAACTCTGCAGCAGAGGCCCTGTATCCACCCCATTATGCAGAAGGAACATGGAGCAGGGAATCCAGTAAAGGCTACTTAAGTGAGCTCTTGTTGGAGTCAGGAGTTGAACTAGAAACCTCGGCTGGCTCTTAGCCGCTGCACCACACCAGGGCTCTCCTATTAAAATGTTTCTCCACGCATGGCAATTTCAGGATGAACACTGCTCTATAGGCAACCAGCAACCACATCTTCCCATTTCTTGACTGTGCTGGAGCTTTCAAAAAAGTTAATTACATCCAACAATAACATGCAAAGTTAGTAACCCTGAGGGCTTATCATCTACTTTTGATGTGGCTGTCAGCACCAAACAAGCTGTTCACCACAAAATTAAGAGATACAATTAGAGGCAGTAGAAACTCATGTGTGTTTTTTTTTTTATAAAAAAACCCGTAAGTTACCAAAGGTGGGAGTGTGGAGGCAGAGAGAAAGGGGAGAGGGGAAAGGACAAGCAGCAACACATTGGCCAACATGTCTTCAAAAGCCAGTCATGAGATTTAAAACAGCCTTCTCCTGGTGACCTGCAGATGTCGTGGGTCCCCAACTCCCATCAACCCCAGTCAGAACGGCCTGTCATTAGGGATAATAGAAGCTGTAGGCAAACAACATCTAGTGGGCACCAGGTTGGGGAAGCCTGCAAAAGATGCCCCTTTAAGTAAATGTAGTGATTTAACACCATCTTCAGGTGTCCATTCTTTCCTATCACCTCACAGAAGTTCATTGTATTTTTTAAATGCCGCTTTTACTTATTTACTGCAGAAATTAAAAAAAAAAAATCAGTGTTGTCACAAGGAAGGAAAGTAAGGAATTAGCCTGCATTTTGGAGGGTTAAGTACCGTATTTTTTGCACCATAACACTCACTTTTTTCCTCCTAGAAAGTAAGGGGAAATGTCTGTGCGTGTTATGGAGCGAATGCCTGCGGGTGGTGGGGGAGATCTGCTGCAGTCGTGAGCAGAGGATCCATGGTTCCCCTTCCTTCCCTCCTCCGTGGTTACAAAGCATGGATCCACATGGATTCTCAGGATTTTTGCATTGGGCTACTCCAAACTCACCGTCAGATCACATGTCTGTGGCCACAGCATGAACCACAAAAATCATATATCCACTATTTTGTTTAGAATATTTTTTTTCTTGTTTTCCTCCTCTAAAAACTACATGCGTGTTATGGTCTGGTGCGTGTTATAGAGCGAAAAATACGGTACTTTCAAACATCACTGCAGGCCAGATTTGCAAATGGATAAAACTGATCAAAGAATGGCATAAAGGAGCCTTCTGAAGAGCTGATGGTATGAATTTAAAAGGAGAAACAACCTCCACTTTATTATGGTGTGGGTCACAAACTCAAAGGTAGCAAGATCCCTAGTGAAGGTTGCTAAGATATCACCACTTTATGTCCTTTACGTTTGGTATTTTACCTTATTGTTTGTTCTTGCGCTAGTATTCTATTTTCTTTACGTAAGTACTGTATTGCATTTGTAGAGCTATAGTCATAGAATTGTAGAGTTGGAAGGGACCAAGGGTCATCTAGTCCAACGCCCTGCAATGCAGGAATCTCAATACGAGTTTCAGTAATAAAAAAGCAACTCAGATTTAGGAACACAAGAAGCTACCTTATGCCAAGCCAGACCACTGGGTCTGTCTACCTGTCTACCTCAGTCCTGTCTACACTGACGGGCAGCAGCTCCCCAGGATTTCAGGCACCAGTCTCTTTCAGTGGGGATTGAATTTGGGACATTCTGCATGCAAGGCAGATTCTCTGCCACCAAACTTGCAGCCCTAGAATCCTTAGGACTGCTGGAATACACACAAACTCTTCTCAAAAAGTGAATTTTCCCAACTGTAACAAATGCAATTATCTTGCTCAGGACAAACATAAGTCTGGATGAGCCCTAATTAAAATACTATTTTGGTCAAAACCTTCAGAGTTTCCATTTGGGCCTTTTCATATCCCTTTCTATTTTAAAAGTGCACATAAAAAAATTAAGATATTCAAACGCAACAGAACGCTACTGTTTGAAAATGTAGGTATGGACATCAGTAGGGATACCAGAGAACTTCAACAAAAATGGAAACGGGAGCAGAAATTGCTGGTGTTCCCTTATTCACCCCATGTCTGGAAGGCTAAACAATCCAACAAATATTATCTGTGGTCAATGTTGTCATTCTTCAGTCCACCAATGAAACGTGTTTGATAAATTGTCATCGCCACCCCCCGCGGAAAAGAAGATGAATAATGCAGTTCTTGTTGGAAGCCAAATTGCAGCAGAACAGAAACAGCGCAGCATGCAATGCATCCAAGGTGGAAAAGAAGTACCGTAGATTGCCTTCTTTCATCCCTACTGACCAGAATGTAGGGATGGGTTTCTGCTGTTTTGAGTGCATGATCATCACGGGCAAAACGTGATTTTGTTAGTGAACAGTTTCCTTCATCAAGTCACAGCCGTTCCAGCGCTGCTCTCTGCAAGCGTGAGAACACAAGTCGCCTGTGGGTTGGAAGGTGAGCGGGGCTATTTATTCCACCCCCCCTTTTTAGACTTTCATTAAACATTGAAAAAAACGAGCGAGCGAGCAACACATACAAACAAGTAGAAAAAAGAAGCCCACAAACCAGTATTTACACTTGCGCAGCTGGCTAAATAAAGGGTTAAAGAAAAGCTTCCTTATTTCACAGTTTCCAAAAATGCTGACTCCCTGGAATGACACTTTTTTTTAAAAAATGGAAAGAGCCAGAAGCCTATATCCAGAGGCACACACAAGACACTGGTGAACTAACCTTTGCCACGCTTCCTTCTCCCCCCCCCCCCCCGCCACCATGCACACACCCTAACTAAGCAAGTCTAACTCAGCTCAAATATAAAGCTCTCCAAAGCTGCTGACTCGACAGACTTTTTTTCCAGCCTCTGAGACAGAGACACACACACACACACACACACACACACACACACAAAGAGCTTTGATAAAGGGAGGGTTAGAAAGCTGAGAAAAGGGAGGGAGAATAGGAAGGTCAGGCCTCGGCTGGAGGCGCTTCAGATTGCCAAAGAGCAACTAAACTGGACTCCTTTTTTGTCACCAGATACTTGAGCCAGCCAATCACAGCATGGAAGAAACACAAGATTTTGTAATCCTTTGAGCTTCCATAAAATAAAGCTTCAAAAGTGCAATATAAATCATCACAGGTGGTCATTAGTAATACAGGCTATATTTATAACCTTCTCACCTTATTTCTTTCCCTGATCATCTAAACCATCAATTTTTATTTTTATTTATTTATTTTTTTAAAAAAATAATTAACTCACTGACAGAGGAACAATGAACCAAGCCAGCATGGTCAATTCCACATCTTTAGCCAGCATGGTCAATTGCATATAGCGTAAATGTCCCGTTTTGAGCGGGATACCTTGGATTGACAGAAGCCACCCTGATCCGAATCCTGGGTTTTGGCTCCCATGCTCTGAATGTGCCACAGTGTGGGACCCAAATACACACGTTCTTGGTCCCATGCTGCGGCGCAAGACAGTTGGCTCACACCAGAGTGTGGGACCAAAAAATGGAACAGCCAGTGTACTTATGGAGCTGGCGCTGCACTTCTGGGATTTCAGCCGATGGGG